TAAAAATATTTTAACATTAAATAAAAAGTATAATTATAAAATAAATTAACATCCAAATAAATAAAAACATAATAATAGGTAAAAATTATAAACAAATTCTTATATTTCTTTATATTTGTAAAAATTGAAAAATTCTGAAAATTATTCTTGGTTACATCACTAGAAGCACCAAAAATAATAAAAAATAACTTCAAATTTCTAGCACAACGTAAATAATTCTTGAAGATTAAAATTCATTTTTTTTCCTAATGCATTAATAATTTAATCACATTTTCTAAATTCTATTAAAAGTGAATAACATTTAACATGAATATTACTAAAATTGATTAGAAGCATTCATAATCAAAATTTAAAACTTCTAAATCAAATATCCAAAAATAGTAAAATATTAAGACTAATTTTATTATATAATTTTAAGACTTTTAAAATGATACTTATTTAAAATTTAGTTAGGAGAACCATAATATTATTTTAAGAATAAATTAAAAATTTAGAGTTCTAAGAGTAAAGGCACAAACCAATTATGAGATAATAAAATTCAAGTGAATTAGAAATTTAATAATAACTTAGAGAATATGAAAATGTTCTATTTTTATTTATTTTAATTAAGTTAATGGAGTTACAATCTTGTAAAATAAGAAAAAGAAAATTTAAAATACTACAAAAAATGTGTTATATTATTTAATTAAATTATCTTCTAATCGGATTTTATTTTGTAATCGGGCAGTTCAGGCTGTTTGAAAGTAAAACCATGAACCAAACCAATTATATCGGTTTTAAAATTTTAGAATTCAAACTAATTCAATTTTATATTGGTTTGGATCGATTTTTAATTGGATTAAATCAATTTAGATCAGATTGGATCGGATATGAACACCCCTAGGTATAATGGGACTAATATATCTAAAGTTTGTATTTAAAGCTGTCTATTTCTCCTCTTGGTTGAGTAAAGGGGCAAATAAGGATTCCAACTTTACACTTTTTTCTATTTAAGAATGTTAACTTTGTTAATGTCTAAATGAGGATGTTAACTTTTAATTTTTTTCTAAATAAGGATGTTAATTTTGTTAGTTTCTAAATAAGGATGTTAACTTTCAATATTTTCTATTTAAGGATGTCAACTTTCAACTTTTTCTATTTAAGAATTAATTGAATAGTGATGTTTACGTGACTAACATATTTTTTAGGTTAAATACTTGAATTGGTCCCTCAACTTTTATTTTTGAACCAATTCATC